CCCCCCCCCCCCGGCTTTCTCCTTTGTCCCACCCCCAAACGACCCGCTGATCTGCCTGCGATTAAAAACAAGGCTTCCTTGAGCAGCAGTGAAATCTCATCTTTTTTTTTTTTTGGGGGGTAGGCTGCGTTCCTGGGAAAGGATGGGGGCTGCCTCCAAGCTCTGACCCACACCTCCCCTCCAGCCCTGAATTAAAAAACAGGCAGCTCCGGAGGAAGAAGGGGAGAAGGAAAACATGCCATTCCCTGCAAATACATACAAGAAGCTTCTATGCTGTCTGTCTGCACTGCTGGCCTTAGGTTATTTTTTCCAAAAAGACAAATACTAAAATAAGTTTCTGGGGAACAGATGAGTTGGAGCTCTAGCCATTAAGAATGCTAAGAGGCCACAGTTAAGTGACATTCAGAAAGTTTCAGGGCATGAACAATCAATTCTCCACCTCAGAGACCTTGTTTCTTTCTTGGCCTCATCTTCTGTTAATGTTTGGTGGCTTATGTTTGCTTTTGGGAAAATCCAGCTTCACTTCACATTGTGCAGACTGCCTCTTAGGAATATTCCAGATTGTAGTGGTATTAAGACAATGTGCCCAAATTATGGTAAACATTTCATTAGGAACTGTACTATAAACATTGATAAGTATGCAATAGAAATATTATAGGCAATTTTAGTTGACCCTGAAACTTCTTATTGTAAACACGGGTAATTTAGATACAACAACATGGGTATCTTTAAGCTTAACTAAGTAATTACACATTAACTGGGTAAAACTTCTAGAATCCTGCATTTTCAGGTGGCAATGATGGTTGGTCAGTCTTATATTCAGAAACATCAGCATGTCGGTTTTCTTGTTGAAAAGAGGGGCTCTGGTTAATAGATTCCTGTGCTTTGCTAAAGAAAGGAGAAGAGTTCTCCCTTGAAAGCCGGCATTTATGGGACTTGTATACAGATCAGGGTCTGTGCATGTGTATGTATGACTTCCTACTGAGGGAATAGGATTGTGGAAGAAAGACTGTGATGATGCAGAAGTAGGAGTGGAAAGAACATTTGTAAAAACACAGAAATGCCTCCTTAGTTTTTTCGTTGTAGGCGAACAGAGGAAAGCATGCAGAGATTTAAAATGAAGAGCATTAGAAATCAAAAGAATGAGGAAAAAAGCAGCAAATGAGCTGCAATAATTTTTCCTAGTGATTATATAAACTCTATGTTTTGGCCTCCTTCCCTGCAGAGGCTCTCAGTGGGTTGGTTACACTGTGGAAATACAGTGGACAAATTTCCATCTGAGCTGTAAGGACAAGGTTTTCAAAATGATAATTTCTCCTTTCGGGCAAGTTAAGTTACTGACTGTGCTATCGCATTAGTTTATTGTATAAAGATGACTTTTGTAGACTCATTCTGTTTTACATTTGAAGGTAGTGTCTAAATTCTTTTTTGATCTGTTGTTTATCTTGACAATTGGGGAGTTTATTTCTCTGTTCCTCTGTGCTCATAACTGTAAGACAGTAAACAGAATATGAAATAGTCCCCTGATTTGATTACTGTTGTCTTTATCTAAGCACGGTGTCTCAAAGACTTCACGGGTCTGGAGTAAAAGGCTCTATCAGGGCACATCAGGTGTAAGAGAGAATGGCTGCTCAAATAGGCAACCCTTGATTGTGAAACCTGAGATAGGTGCCCTTCTCTTCTGTTTTACAGTATCTGCTATAGTGGACTTCTACACCGTGGCCAAGTCTTCAGGCAGCATGATTAAAATATCTTCCAGTGTTTGTTAAAAAGGTTGCTGTCTAGACTTAATGTTGACTGCTTTCTCTTGTTTTGATACTGTTTTCCGGCTACCATAGTTTAAGTTTATTTATCTTATTCTCTTTGGCTTTTTTGCAAAAAGTTCTCTAGATATTTCTGCTCTTTTGATATTGCTTCAAAGCATCCTCTTCTCTCTATTTGGGACTATGTTTCTTCAGTAGAGCCTAGTGGTGCCTTTGTCCCAGCGTACAGGATAACTTTGGGATTTCTTACCTGCCTAGTTTTGCTTAGTAAGTTTTATATTGGAATAGAAATCTGCGGTGACCCGGACCTTTCTAGAAGAAAATTACCCACCCGGACCTTTCTAGAAGAAAATTACCCGTAATTCTTTTCTGCAGGTGCCTATTGCAGCACATCTGCATGCATGTCAGCCACTGAATTAGAGAACAGTTGATAATACAATATGTATCTTGCACTTGCTGGCTGTTAGGGACTGAACCGTAATTAAACCCCATGGGGTGACAGTCTTTAAAAACACTTTTAATTACATAAGGGACCATCAGGACTTCTAACAATGACAGGCGCAAACTACCATATTATTGGCCACCAGCCAAAGGCTCCATCATGGAACTGCCCTCCAGTTATACATATGAGAAAGATCCAAGAATATATGTAGCTTTGTTGACAGAGTAAGGGAGAAAGATTTGCAGGTAAGAGATATTACAGAACTTGCTATTCTATCAGATGTGACAGTTGCTTAAAGGTGGTGTCTGAGAAAAATAATTTTCAGAACTGTTGTAATTTTGCCAATGAATACACACAATGAAATGTATGAATTACTTCCTTGTAAACCTTTTCCTGAAATGTTTATGATGCTCATTTGTGGGCTCTATCTAAATAATGATACTATATTTGCATTACAAGCCCATCTAATCTCTTCCCCCCCCTCCCCCCCCCCAGCTTTAAGACAGAAAAATACTTCCTTTTTTTTTTTTTTCTTTGTTTAATTTTCCTTGGGTAATTATTGGCACAGAGACAAACATTTACATTTTACTCCTTTGGATTATAAAAGCTCTTACATAATACCATTCTAAAATTACTGTGTGAAAACATTTCTCACTTTGATAAAAGTGAAATATGATGCAGTAAAACCGGCAGGCATTTTAGTTTCCTTTTTCTCACTTCCTTAACATTCAGAGTAATAGTCTGACAGCTGAGGATACTTTTTCATTTCTGTACCATGTCCTGTAATCTAAGATGGAGGGAGGAGTGAGAGCAGTTTGCCCTGATTCTCAGTATCCTTCTAGATTGGGCGCTTTTCCTTAAAGCATGTGATTAAAATACTGGTTGTAAATGCACAAGTCTAGGAACCTTGCAATCTCTGAAAGACAAAACATTGTATTCCCATTTGCAGGGCATGTTCCCGTTGTCTGAGACTTCAATGCTGTGTTCAGGTGTCCCAGTATAGTTAGTTTTCTTGGAGACAAGGTCGCTAGAAACAGAAAAGTTTTTTCCTTTCTGTTTAATTGGCTTTTGCCTCTGCCCTCTCCTTTCACTTTGTTTGCTGTTGTATAGACCAGGGCTTGCCAGCATCCCGTATAGACGGGGTCTGCTCTACTTGCCACCCCCATCTTTTGCAAGTGGTTGAAGTCAGCAGAATGGCCTCATCCCCCAGGGCAGACTAATACACTTAATATACTCTTACTCATTTGGAGTCAGTTGTATTTTTTTTTTTCCCATTTTAGGAAGAATTCATCACATCCTTTGTCCTCTCTCTGTAGCAAATTTGAGACTCAAGTCGTCATTACAGGGAAAAGCTTTGCCAGCCGTTGGTACCACCTTTTCCATGCAATTCTGTCACACTCATGACTTCTGACTCGGTCTTTTGATGCAAAATGTAGTGGGTGTTTTCCTCACTAAGTGAGAGTTGGTAGGAAGCTACTTTGTTTCAATTTGAGTTCATTTTCCTCAGGGCAGAAAGCTACTAAATTGTCCTTTTTTTTTTTTTCTTTTTTTTGTAAAACCCCCTTTTAATGTTAATATATTTTAGGTGTGACAAACTTTAAACAAGCTACTGATGATAGTGATCATTACTTCATCAGGTGTAGCTTCCACACTGCTATTATGTTTCCATGCAAATCATTTCAATGCCAGTAATTTCATTACCAAAGCAAAGTAAAAAATGTAGCATCAGCTCCTTAAGCTCCATGGAGTGAATACTGTTCTTGTTGTGCTCCGTACTGGAAATATTTCCAAGTCATTAGGTAGGAAAGATTTTTTTTTTTTCTAGGCAAGGCTTTTACTACAAGTAAATACAGAAATCTCTAGCTCCCTTCATTTTTTTTCTGTAAACATCTATCACCTAGCAAAAGTCTCTTACAGTTAGCTTAATTGTACAAAGCTAGCTCAGGTTGCTATAGTCTCGATTTGTGAATCTGCATATTTTTTCAGTGTTGGATTGTTAAAAGTTTTTTTTAAAAGTAAAAAAAAAAAAATTAAAGCCTGACTTTCTACAGAAGCAAAGAGAAGGTATGTCTGAGCCACTGGAAGCTTGACAACTACTGATGTGTTTTGAACAACGCTGCAGAGAACTTCCATGGCTTTTCTTCCATAAGTCTGGTTGTTCTGTTAGAAGTTGAAGGCCCATCCTTTCCCAGCACTTCTTGCCAGTTGACTTCACTGGGGAGAGAGCCGAAACGTAATGCATAGAAGTAGCAAGATCAACTTACTTCAGACATTTTTTTGTACTGTCCCATCAGTTCGTATCCTCAGAATATAGGCGGACAGCACTTGCAGGTTACACTGCACCTGAACACACTTTCCCCGTAAAGCATGGTTCCTGCTGCTTGCTTGATTTACCTGTGTGTGTGCAAAAGACGTAACAAGAGGAAAGGAAAAGGCAAGGATGGGCTCCCAGAAGGAGTCAAGGTTTCCATGCTCCTCTTGTTCAAGCATTGTTACCAATGGTTTGTTTCTATATTGGAATGAGTTAATCATTAAAGGATAATAAGTCACAGGATTTTATTTTTTTTTAAAGGGGGTGGACTGGGGAGGGTGTTGATAGTTTGTCCCTCGCATGTAGGGATTATGTCTCTTAAAAGCAAAACAAACCAAAAGGCTCATGGGCTATTTGATGGTAAATAACTGATTATATATATAATCAGGACAAAGCATGGATTTACAGACAGCTTTCACTAATAACCCTATTCTAAATTTGCCCTATAATTGTGTATACATAATTTCTTATGCAAAATGACTTATCTTCCATGAAAGTAATAGTAGTTTAACTTTCAACTATGCCTTAAGGTTTTTTTATTCAATTCATATGTTTTAGTTAATTTGCAAATCCTGTTTGAATTAGAAGTTACTTAATCTGTACTGTTCAGAATTTAATGAGACTTCTTGTGGTAGAACAAATCTACTTTGAATCTTTAGTGCATATTATAAAAATACACACCTCCCAAAAGTTGGGGCTTGCTCATTTAGTTTTCTTTTTAATATTTAGATGCTAAAGAATCTGTTGTTTGAACTGCTTTGCATTGTTGTAACCTGAACTGACTATAAAATCTGATTTCTGACTTTTCAACTCTAGGAATCTCTACCACCTGTCCAGTTTGACTGGAGTAGCAGTGGCCTTACTAACCCTTTAGATGGTACGTCTCTCCGTAGAGTCTCTAGCACCAGAGCTAGAGATAAGAAAGCTACAAAGTTCAGACAAACATCTATCTGCTGATTATTTTTTTTTTTAAATACACACACACACACACACACACACATATATATATATATATATATAATATTTATTTCTTACTCCTAACTTTGGAAATTCAGGCTTTCTTTCTGATTAACTGTGCCCCTACGTGAAGTATTATGTAGTCTGAAAAATATTAAGTTAAGCATTATTTTAGATTCCTGCCATATGCTAATGACACAGTGGCAATATTAACACTTCATTATATACATAACTGCAGATTATAATGAAACTCTGAACAAATGAGCATTTTAGATTGACAAGTCTTACTTCTTAAAAGTATTTTTCACCAATGAACTCTCTCTTTAGACATCCTTTGAATGACAAACTTGTGTATAGTGGCTACTTCAAAGCACAATATTTTAACCACAAACTGTTTGCAAAAGATACACTTCTTGAGCTGAAAGTTTTCAGATTTACAGATAATTTTATATTTCAAAAACGTGACTTCATCTGTTATCACTTTTGCTTACACTCAAGAGCTAATTATAGCTGATATATTAAATTAAAAGAGGTAGCTACCAACTTATTTTTATCTGTAAATGTATATAGTTATCACGTAAAAGACCCTTCACCTATGTCTATTTTAATAGCAAAGTGAGTTGTGCCACCGCCTCCAGTCTCAGAAATGTAAGTGCATGCAAAGTAAATAAAACAAGTTTTGGAAACTTGTTTGATTGACAGACTAGAAACCTGTAAAGAAACTGATACCTTTATGAGGAGCCTGCTAACAGCAGTTAATTCATGACACATAAGTTGTTCAAAAGCAGGCTAAAATAAACTTCATCTCTTAGCGCACTGGTGTTGCCTCACGGTGTTGTATCAGAACATGTGGGATATTAAGAGTTTGGATAGTAATATCATGGTGCTGAAGGAAAGCCTGGATGGACCCTTTTGCTGTTGTCTGGTGTCTTATTACTTCAGTCAATCATCATGCTTTCTTTTTAACAAACAACTTCTTTCAAAATGTACCTTGGTTTGATTTCTGTTTTAGTACTAAAGGGGAACAGTATAATTTACCAGTGAGGAACTGGATATAAGACAGATATTTGCTACCCTGTGTTCACACTGCTTTAAGATAATGATTATTAATAGCTTAAAGCTGCTAAATAAAACTCTAAAGGGTTTTTTTTGCTTCTTTGCTATTTGGGGATCTGCTAAGTCTTCCTGATGAAAGAATGGTTTTCAACTTCACTGAGGGCAGAAAAAGCCCACTATATTCTAACTATCAATTGACCTATATATTGTTTCCCTTTAACTGATCACATCTTTCTCTCTGGGTCGTGCTGGTTCTCTTTCATTTTTTAGACTGAAATAAATATTTCTATTTTAAAGTTACTAGTGTTGATTTCCTTGCTGCATTGTACATGAGGAAATGTGCACTGAATTAAGTTGTTAACATTTTAGAAGGTACAAACTAATACTGTAAGCATTGTTTTCATGTCAATTTTTAAATTGCGTACTGAGTACTAATTATAACTTGCATGTTCAAGTGTGTGTCTTACCCCTTTTTACACATAAACCCCTCCCTTGGCTTACCTTCTATATGGCTGCCTACCAACACGGTCACTGAATTTCAAGCTAGTGGAGGTTCCACTCTTCTGAACCTTGATTTCTTTGGGCCCGTGGATGACAGTAGCTCTAGCAGCACCACCACAATCCCAGGTCAGCAGAGTGTTAAAACCACAAATGTGATATTATAACGACTTACTAAAAGCATGAGCACATCACTTGACTTTCCTATAAACAAGGAGAAATTTTACATTGCATTTCTCTAAAATGTCTTTCTACTATGTTTTTCCTTTAATCTGTGTTCTGTTTTCTGATGTTTTGTATCGAGTGCGAAGTATTTAAAAGGTACTGTCAGATCTGTATTTGTCACATGCTGAAGTAATGAATGGCTCTTATGCTCTTGCAAATAAGATGTTAAAACACTTGTTTCAAATGAGAAATTTTGAAAGTTTACTTTCCTGAGCACTTCAGAAAAATTGAAAAATGCTGTAGATGTGGCGATTCCCAAAAAATGAGGCTTGCTCTCTTCTGAAGGAGTGTCTCCAGATTACAGGATACGATGTTATTTGGAAATGATGTGTGAATATAAAGTTATGGGCCTTAACATATCACAACCCCGTTGGTGTTTGCTGCTACCAGGTGGTTGTAATTTTTTTCTTTGTGTGAACTACTAATATTAATGATAAAGTGAAAAAAGTGTTTTAACAACATTCATAATAGAAAACAAGGGTAGTTGCATGTTTGTGGGACATCAGAAGTTCATGTTAATTATAAAACCAAAGCACTTTATCTGCAATTTACTCCCTTTAGAAGGAGACAAAAACACCACTCTCTCTATTGAATAATACGTGAAAGTAATTGAATTCACTTATCGCGTGGTTTTGACATGCTCTGAGTATTTTGCGCGAGCTTGTGAAAAACCTACACTTTGAATAAATTTCTGCAGGAATTTAAGGGAACATTTGGGGAATTTATCCCAGTGCATAGGTTAAATAGATAAGGCAAATAGCCCTTCAATACAATGCCTGAAGCCATGATAATCACTTTCTTTATAGGACAGGGTTTCCCCCCCCACCCCCCCTTAGTGATTTTAATTTTAAAAAATCAATTTTTGAGAGGTTTGGGGTTTTCCCACATTTCAAATAAGTGTTTATAATTATTCTTGTATTTTTTGTTTTTAAAAATCTGCTTTTTTAGTTTTGAAATCTTATCACTTACGACAATTTTATGGCATCGCATTCCAAATGTCTTTTTATTGCACCCTTGAGAAATGTCATTATCAGATGAAAAACGGCAGGTTTGTCGTGGAAGTAATAGGTAGCAAATTCAAGATGCTTGAGTCTTACAGCTTCTTTTGTAAGCGTGTGCAAGTCTATCGACATAAAATCGTCAGTACCCAGTACATGTACTGCTCGTGCAGTCGGGTACGTTCTTGTGTCCTGATGGCGCGCACACTTGAAGTGATTACTGGAGAGATACTCCGTTAGCCTTCTATTGCATTTTTTTATGTTGTTGATGTTGTTTCATCAAGTTACAGGTATTATCACCTTCCTTGGTATGCCCTATAGTGCCTCTTTTTATTTGTTTGGTTTTGGCTTTTCTTTCCTCCTGACTTGTTTCTGGGAAAGTCATTTGTTTCTTGGCTTGCAGCTCGTGTGTTTGTGTGTGTGTTTAGGAGCTTTGTGTGGGGTTTGGTTGGCTAACTTTCCTTCAATATCTCATTAAGGTTTTGCAGTGCCTTCCTTAAATATTCTCTAATCATTTGAATAAAAGGGAGAATATGCAACTCTTAAAAATAACTAAAATAACTGAAAGACAAATTGTTAGATCTTTTGGCTTAAAGAAGAAACTTCTATTACTGATAAAAGTTTGTTCTTTCTGCGAAGACCGTGATTTTACTTACTATAGATCTAAGCTGTATTCTTCTCAGTCTGATTTCATCAGTAGCCGAAATCACTTTTTATTAAAATTTACATTCTACATCATGAACAGGGAGTTACTCATTTCTAGTGTGTTCCCACAGATTTAGCGTATTGGTTTATTTTTCATGTTGATAGTTTAACATAAATGTAGCTGAGTAAGAGCTGCCTAAAGAACAGTAAATTGAGCGGTGACATCGCACTACAATGAAAATGAATTCAGGACCGTAAATGTGAATATCTAAATGATGTAACTTATAAGGTTGCATTTAACATTTGTTGCAGAGTTGCATGTCAAAGGACTCCTTGTTTCAATTAGTCTTACAATTTGTACCTTAATGGGATTTCACAGGCTTCTGCAAGTCAAAGTGTATTTCTTCAAGTCTTCCTCTCCCTGTTTGAAAGTGGATATTTTATGGAATAGCTGGGCTTTTTCCTATTTCCAAGTTCTGTAAACATCTGACAGTACTTAAAGTCTTGGTATACTGGTCTCAGGACAGCACATATTTTGATGTTTTGCATGAAACTGGATGAAATTAACTTTGAAAATCCAGACTTAAAATATCTAGGTTGAAAGGAGAAGTGATTCATTTCTAATCAACTCATATTAAATAGAGCAAATCTTCTCCCCCCCCCCCCCCCCCCCCCCCCCCCCCCCCCCCGCTCCTGCATCTTAACCAGATGATTTTCTTAATTTTACTTTTTGGTCAGCTTAGTTTCCTAACAATGAAAGAGTGCTTAACTTGTGCACAAATGACGAATGGTCAAGACACAGCTTGGGGAGAGTTCATGCAAAGCAGGCATGAGGATTATTAACCTCACCTGTCTGTGCACATAGTACTGCCATTACTGGGTGGAAAAGGCAGGACAACAGGCACAGGCATTTTTTTTTTTATTTAGTAATCTTTCAGTATTTCAGGAGTACTTCTAAAAGTGTCTTGATCCAGGCAAGTAAACTGGGTAAAATCATCAGCGCATGAGTTTATAAATGCTGGTTTTATATTAGGTAGCTACATGGGACCATCACATCCAAGTATTTGCAGCGTTTATTCTGTAGTAGTATGAAATGCTTCTGTGTTGTCCAAACCAGCTGGCACTAGCGTTACACTTGTTCAGAATGCAGGTGTCTATAAAACATGATGCTTCTGTACAAAAACTCTATGCTATTTTTAAAAAATATTTATAATTGTAGATGGCGCATATGCACACTTCATTTAAACCCATGAAGCATAAAATAGCTGAAACTATCACCAATCCTATATATCACTATATCACCAATTTAAAATGCTTCTGAGCAGCAAAATGTGTTGTAACAGCCTTTCCTCTTGATTTATTTTGATAATTCTAATTCCTAGAGATTTTTTTAAAGAAAACATACTTAATATCTGGAAATTCTAGAGCTACTTCTTACTGAGATGTGATGCTTGATATTAAACAGGTAGAATCTCACCCATACATGTGTATTTTTTTGGATGCAGGTTTCCATTGTTTGCATTGTTTTCAGAATGACCTCCGCTGATAAAATTTGAAATCCATTCACAATGTGTGTGATGTCAAAATTTAGCATCTGACTTAAGATACCTGAAACTAGGAAATCAAGGCTGAAACATCCAGATACTTGATGCTTTATAAATACTTGAAACATGAAAAGGAAGCATAGACTAAAAGTTTGGGGAGCATTATACATGTTAGTATGTAACTTTTCTAATGCCATTCCACTTGTATGTATCATAAAAGCTGCTTTTCCTCAATTCAAAAAAATTTAACACAACCTCTTGTGGAAAGCAAGATACTAAACGCACTCTAATACATGCCAGTGCTGTGTGTCATCTCTCATTGAGGAGTTGGTCCCTGTTAACACACAGCATTCTTTTCATACAAACAGTTGAGTTGAAGTAATTGAAACAATTCATTTTAACACAGCTGATGTTTTTACAGCTGTTTCACTCTAAAAGGTAAATCAAATTTTTGTTTACTCTTAGACTGAGACCCTGTATGCCAGACTTGAGCCAATGTGTGTGTGTTTTGTAGTACAACTATAAAAGCTACTGAAAAAGGGTGGGGAGAGAGGACAGTGTTTCAGAAATGCCGACATGTTCTGTCACGTCCTTTTCATGTATCTTGAAATTATAAATGATTCAGATGTTTACAGAAAACAGTCTCTAGCAAGTTGGTCTGTGGCTAATTATGGCTATACTTGCCTCCAACCATCACTGACTATCGTTTTATACTATAAGGTGTGGATCCTGAGTTGTATGAATTGACAACCTCAAAACTGGAAACTTCCAATGCAAGCAACAGAGTGACTGATGCGTTTGCAAGACTCATGTCCACAGTGGAGAAGGCAAGCACGTCCACAAGGTAAATGTTCTTTGTTGCCTTTTTTTCTTCTTTTTCTAAGGGTGGCATGAAATGTGAGGAGTGAATGTGTATGCTATTTTAGGTCAGAAGTTCTTGAATGATCAAAAGTCTTAAATTTAATAATTAAATTTAAATATGAAATTCATAGTACTGTAGTTCATATTTCAAGTTATCATAGAACTCTAAAATAGGATGGGAATCAGTTCATGAGCTGAAAGAAAAAGATCACCAGGGCATAAGTTGAAAAGTTAAAGCCAAAGACTGAACTGGAGGAAGCGACTTTCTGAAGAACAGACCTGATTCCTAAGAATGGAAGGGTAAACTGAACCATGCGGTTTGGTGACCTAGGACTTTGACAGAAGACTCTCCTCAGTCCTCTGTGTAACTTATAGATACGGAATGTTCCACAAGTAAAATGATAAAACTAATAATTATGACAATATTTGTCCCTTCCCATATATTTCTAGCACCTGTCAAAACATCAGACTCATTTTGGTGTTGCAATTAAGAAACAGGTGTGTAGTTGGTTTAGGATGTCCTTTCTGCTTCATGGATCTCACGTGAAGTTCTGTACTTTTTTTTATAGGTAGAGTTTATATAAAGGCTTTAGGTGTGAAATGTTTTCCTTGAAGTCTGGCCTGTTGAATGGGTACAGAATAGTTTCTCCATTTACAAGCTTGTATTCTTTGGGGTTATTTTTTGAATGTGTGTCTTAGCAGTAGGATCCTGGACTGTCTTAACATGTAATTAACGTCTGTGCCCATTAAAAGAATTGCTGAGTGATTCTCACCAAATAAAACGTTTCTATTGTTGAGGAAGTGCGTGCATCAACATGCAACAAGCACTAGTCGCTTTGCAACTAATAGATAGTAACATATCCTCACTCGTAAGTGAGCTTTAGGTTTTATTCAGCACTCTAAAACAAAATAGATGTGTTTCCATGCAGCGTAGCACTTAGAGAAGAGGCACAGTTGAAGAGTTGTGGCAAATGCAGTGAGTTGTAATGCTGGGAGGTAGCTGGCTTTCTTAAAATTGACTAAAACTATAATTTTTCAAGAGCTGTTTTAAAACATGTTCTTTCATTGAGAAAACTATCTTGCTAGTTTTCCTGCAGTGAAAATGTTCAAAGTGAACGCTGAATAAAAAAAATCAACAAGCCATGAAATTTCAAGGGAGTACCAGTAGAGGGAACTCCACACTTCAGTGCTGATTTTTGTGTCTCGGCTTTTGGATTGCCTATTTTTCTGTCCATGGAGTGCATATGCTCTTTCTGAAGATACACTAGTGCAGAAGTTTGACTTTCACTAATTAGAAAGCATAGTTACAGTTGAAATATTTCTGTAATATATTCTAAGTCTAATTTAAAAGTAACTGCAAATTCACAGCAGGACACACAAACTCCAAATGTATCTTTATTAATTATTTTATCTTCACTCATAGATTTGTACCTGCTTGCTTGCTTGCTTTAAGATGCCTTGGCTTACTTTTTCTTTACAAAGGAACAGGGAAGCCTGCTTTGCTTAAATGAATGTTGACCTTCATTTTTCAGTATTGTTGTTTTCGATATGAGGGGTTTGGGTTTTTTCCAATGCTTCTGTGGTGCACTTGAAACCCCTTACTTGCGCTATTAAAGTTCTTTATCCAGATGTCAAAGTTCTTCCCCCGTTCTGGAGAGCATTGCTTGCTGGTAGGAAGAGGTTCTAGATCTGTGCTGTAGCAATATATCAGGCTGTAGGAAGAGGCTGGGGACCTCAGACTTGGCAGCTAAGTTCAGACACACACAAGAATTAGCTGTTTTCACTGTTTGATATGTTTTGTATGGTTTTGTCAACTCTGAATTTTAAAAATTTCAAGAGGGTTTGTTTTTTTTTTTTTATTTCATGGTCTCCAAAGGAAAAGCAGTCTGGTTTTCTGTTTTTCAAGCTAGAAACCTTCAGAGATATGAGAAGGTCTTATCTCAGCAGTATGCCAAATATGTTGCAGTATGTTAGCTTTTTCTAATAAAATTGTTTTTCTTTTGAAATTTTTTTATTCTTTCTTAATGAACTGGAGACCTTAAAATAGGAGTGGCTGCATACAGCCGATTCAACAAGGATGACATTCATGCACCAACTTGGAAATATGGACTATTAGCCATTCATGATAACTGATTAGGGAAGATGTGGCCAGTGTCAGCTTCAGCTGGGCTAAGGCTATCCCATGTCTGTCTGTAACTTGTCTGAACTCAGTATCTTTGAGGATAAAGTTTAGAGTGAAAATACCATTGTTCAGCTGTAGAAAGCCATGTGAAGAGTCGTCTTTGTCTGAAATAGGCTCATCTTTTGCTTGCAAACCCATCTCTTAAAGCTGGAAAGTCAGTTGGAACAACTTCCCCCTCAGCTGGAGCCTGAAACCTTGATGGCAGCAGTAAGTGTTGAAGGTCAGGGATCCAGTACAGCATTCCACTGAGAGAGACTCTGCAGCCTTGCCCAGTTCCACAGAATTGGCAGAGATCAAAAGTTTATCTGCTGTCTTTTTGAAGGAAAGCAGAGCACTGATACCTTTCCAAGAAATGGCCAAAACCCTTGTTTAAACTGGAAATACTCCTTGTGGGTGGTGTTGGATGGAGCAGGCTAACTCTTAATTACAGAGTGATTTTTAAAGTGTATTTCTCTAATCGACTCATTGTTGCTATTAGAGCCTGGCCTCGCTGCTGCTGTCCACAAAACCCTTGACAAACATGAGAGATGACTGAAGTCCTGAAAGACTTGGACACTGCAGGAAGGGGCTGGAATGCAAAACAGAACAGTGAGGTGTCAGTGATACATTCACAAAGTATTCCCCATTTCTTGCTACGTTTTCTTCTAACAACTTTCCTGCTTGTCAGTCTGGCTAATTTCTTGCAGGTCAGTGTTAACGTGCCTTTGAAAAGGAAACTTCGTGCCAACAGGTAGAGGGACTTGCAATTATCTGCTTGGGTAAGGGCATCCCCTCTGTCTTGGGAGGAACCTAGTGCAAGAGAAGAGATAGATGGGGGCAAAGTGTTCTGTAAAAGGTAGTTTTAATATCTGAATAGGCAGGGTCCCTGTTTTGAGCCAGGTCTGGGTCCTTCAGAACTTTTGATTACTAAACCATTGGTTCCAAAGCAGACAGAG